CAAAGTTCAAATTATTGATTCTTATCAACAATGTGTATTGTTAATTTTACACAATACATTGTTGGCTAGAATGGTTTCTGAGGGATTTATAAAAACAGTCTGATTCATTAAGGTTCATTGGATTGTGTAGATTTTGGAAGGAAGACAAAAGGGCACTCGTAAGTGATGTATGTTAAAGTTTGTAATACTGGAGCTGGCACTTCATGAGAATGGGGTGATGTGCTTGCTTCTGGCATCCGTACCAAAGTAACTTATCTCTTGCATTCCTCTTTGTTGACTACTTGTCTTGGCACTGGATGCTGAGGTTGCCAGATAGGCTTCCTGCCGAAGTGTTGCAATTGTAAACATCTGTCCGAGAAACATAATTCTTTCTAGTTGTGGAAACACAGCTGATATATCCTGGGATCCGTGGCTGGAGTCTCTGAACCCTATTTTCGGACTAATTCAGGACCACAAAAATTTGGAATTTCTTGGCAATCTGAATAATCATGAATTTCTGAAGGGACCATGTATTTTTGTTATATTTCTGATATGTATTGTTATATGTTGACATATTTAACTCGCAAACCTTCCGGTTATATGTGGCTTCTTCTTCTTCATCATCATCATCATTTTTCTTCTGGTTTACACTGCTGTTGCTGTTGGTAACTTAACCAAATATTTATTATTGCTTGTTCCAGAAGTGGCACGCACGAGACTTCGGGAAGAAGGCACAAAGTACCGCTCATTCTGGCAGACGCTAGCTACTGTAGCACAGGAGGAAGGCTATCGTGGTGTGTATCGTGGACTGAGCACGCAGTTAATCCGTCAGATTCCTAACACGGCTATCATGATGGCCACATACGAAGCCGTGGTGTATGCACTCACAAAATACTTTGGCTCCCCAGCCACAGAATTCTACATTGCTGAGGAGTCTTCGACTTCTAACGTAACAAATAACGGTGATATGATAATAAGCAGGCCTGTCGAAGAACATGACTTATCACAGTAACATGTACGTACTTTTGTCGGCAGTTGCACAATGCAATGTTATCCTGATCAAGTCCAAAGTTACAGTTTCACGTTTGTTGTATGAACAGAACACGTGATAGCTCAGTTGTATGAAATTTTAAACTCCATTTATAATTTGGTACTAAATGGTTTAAAGTAAAGTGTTTGGCAGTCTTGTTTTCTTGATTAAATCATACGAAGAATATATTCAATTTTTCTTCCCCTTTTATGTTTTGGAAACTTTCTACTAGATTATTAAATGTTCAGTAATGTGTTAGAACGGTGGTCTAGCGGTCAGAACGCCGGGCTTGTAATCCTGGGATCTCGGGTTCGATTCCCGGTGGTGCCCGGATTTATAACTTGTGTTGGGCAAGGCCGTGGTCCGGGTATCACGGAGTTTTCCTCCGGGGCTTCCCCGGTTTCTCCGTGGCATCCCAACAATTACTCCATTTTTATCATCATTTACGCACAGAAGAAGGCAACGGCGAACCACTGCTGGATCATTTTCCGAGGAAACATATGAACAGGGATCTTGTTCATAATGTCACCAGGGGTCGGCTCCGGCCGGATAGTACCAAAAAAAAGTGTTAGAACTGTCAAAGTACTGCACATGAAGTGTATTTTCAAGGTAACTAATTATGAAGCCTGTTGTGTTATCTGTTTATGCAGTTTAGTTCGTCGTCTATGAAACATAGCAGATCAGATGATGTCGCATACAGCAACACTTGTTCCTGTCATATGTTTATAAGGTTAAATGCAGTATTTATTAACACTGAATTTGCATGAACTGTTGCTGATACAGCTTTTTGACTGCATATTGACTGTAAACTCTGCTCTGAAAAACCAATCGTTAACAAAGAAAACATTTGTTTCCTGTTGTAATCAGTCACTCCAACGCACTGTTTCTCGTGTTCTTTATCTCTAATTCATGTGTCAAAAAATTTAAAGGCTTGTGTGGCAGAAGAGCATATTTCTGAGTTCTTTGGCTTTCCCTCCTGATTGTCATTCCACCAGTGGTCCACACATCTTCGACTGTTCCTCAAGGTGTGCAACAGCCCCGACCAAGGTTTCATTTTGGAAGGAGCATAAACAACTATTCAGTTTTACCTGTAACTTTCTGTTGTCCTTTCAGTTTCTGTTATCATGTGCTTGATGCATATTGTTTAAATGTTGTTTCTTCTTCTCCTCCTCCTCCTCCACTTGCACTACAGCCCTTGGTGGGCGCTGGCATCCCGAACAATATGTCCCCTTCTATTCCGAGGCCTATTATTGGGTTTCTGGGCAATGAAATATTTTCCAGGTATCAGGTCGTCAGCCTAATGCCACAACCCCCAACCTGGAGGACCAGTGGGCTGCTCTTGGTCTGGTCCCTGCCCTTTGACCTGTCTGGCTTGGGTGACCCTACCAGGAGCTGAAGCTCCTGCCAGCATAGCTCTCAGAGTCCTAACGGGACGCACAAACCCCCCTGCCACGGTAAGGCGGCAGCCCTCAGGGAGGTATTTGAATGTTAACAGCTCTAAAACAAAAACACTGCGGTATCAGCACTCGGTTTCTGAGGTTCAGATCTTTGCGGCACAAATAACTGTGCACGATTTTCATTTTGTGTGTGTACTGTTGTACAAAGCTAAATATTTTTAGAAACGATTCATCCATGTACATATGTTAATAATGTTATCATCGAGAGCCCTTAAAAATTAACAGTGAAGGAAATTGAAGTAATGGTGACAAGGGGCATGGTGGTTTTGTTAAATAGTGGGTATTTATATTTCCAATATACCTACTCAGTCGGCTTAGAAGTTTAATGTGATTCTTCGTATGTACTAAAATTCCATTTAATATTAACCGTGCACTGCAGTAGTTGTATTAATTAAACACTGGGGATATAAGGGTGGTCTATGCTGCTATTTGATCATTTGTGATAATAATATTTATTTAAACTATTGTAATAAGTTTACAGCGCGTGCAGTTTGTTACTGACACTTATCCATAGCACCAAAAGTGTGACCTCCCAATGGCACATCTGTCTACATCAGTGGTCCCCAACCTTTTTGTACCTACGGGCACATTTAAGAGTTTATGAGATCGTGGCGGGCACCAACCAATTAACAAAGCCAAATTTTATTTTCTCTGGACAAATAAGATATGGACACCAAATAATACACAAAACAACACGACATTTAATGATACAAGAAACCGTGCAATCAAAAATACATACTTTTATAAGTACAATTATTATTACTAAAGTGGGAAGTTAGTGTGATGTTTGGCACTGCATTTCATCGGCCAGTTTTTCAAATTTGGGAGTGTAGGATGATGCTGCTCGCAAACGATCATCAAGATGGGCGTCTGTAAGTCGAGATCTGCATTTTGATTTTATGATGTTCATGGTCGAACAGCCTTCATTATTCAGTATAACCTCTTTCCGTAACAATGCGGGCACCCAAAAAAAGCCTTGGCGGGCGCCATGGCGCCCGCGGACACCGCGTTGGGGACCACTGGTCTAGATTATGTAGTCACTAGTAAGACTTAATAAGACTGAGGCTACACTTTTAATTTTTGGGGCTCAAATAATTTTTTATGTTTTAACTGTAGTATATAGCAGAATGAATGTGGGAGCAGGTGATTTGTATTCTGTAATGCTGAGGTAAGATTGAATCTCAGTTTCTTGTTTAATTTTAGTAGAGTAGAGATAATAGAACCTTGTGGTCCTTTTTTTCTGTGATAACGCAAGTCATGATTTGTCACATTTCTGCGAGCGACCAGGCAGAAGCTACAGTTTGTTCTGTATCTAAGTAAAATGAAAGGGCAGCGTAAAGTTTTATGCAACTAGAGCTTAAAACGTGACTTGCTGCCCGGCTTGTAACTGTGTTATATTACAATGTCTGAAAGCTTCATAAGCTTTGGAAGGTTGTTCTTAATTTAGGTCTAGGATATGTAGGTTTTCATATTCCATAGTTTCCAAATTACAAGTACCGGTACTTTAATTGTAATAAATATAAAGTTGGCCGTTACAGTTGTATCGTAGTCGTATGTAAACGTAGGTAGTGATAATTGTAAAAAAAAAATTGTTTTGCATCAAAGAGCAGTTGCAGTGCCTCAAGGTCCATTGTGCTACCTTTATAGATATGTTTTTGGTTATGGGCAAAAATTGCAGTTCGTTGAATCATTTCTCGAATTTTACTTAGAAGTAATATATTTTTATATTGCTGTTAATTTGGTTTCAAATTTAAATGTATTATGTAAGAGGTAACTTTTGTATTTATACAAACCAAGTTACTGACATACAGAAAAGGATGCAAAGTTGTTAATTTATCTGGCAAATCTTGTCTTTAATCAAGTAATGTACGCTATTTAAAAAAAAAAGCCTTTTACTTATAGGTTTTTATGTTATTTAGTGGTTTATTTCCATGTGACCAGATTCTGGAATCATAAGTTTTCCACTCTTGTCATGCACACAAAAAATAGGTTGTTTTGCTGTTCACCCGTCTGATTTCTAGGAGCCTGAAAATTAAAGTATACAAAACAATAATTTTGCCTGTTGTTTTGTTTGGGTGCAAAACATGGTCTCTCACTCAGAGGGAGGAACACAGATTGCAGGTGTTTGAGAATAGGGTGTTGAAGAGGATATTTGGGCCTAA